TTTTTCATATAAAATGTATTTTTCTTATACTATTAGGATTTAAAAGTTCTTGGTCTAAACCTCTAACGTGGAAAATTTTTGCAGCAGAGCGACTACAATAACATTTCTGTGTTATTGCATTCTTCGCCTTTTTGAAAAAAGTTTGTTCCAAATCACGAGATGGGTGGATCGCTGCGGCGCACAGTGGGCAGTTTTCCCAATCTGGGGCTCGGAAAGTGAAAAAATAAAATTGCGTGAAATAAAAAAACAACTCACTATTCATGGTCCTCATAGATTCCCATGCCAGTTTTCGTCAGTACGCGAAAGGAAATATTCTACAATCAGTGGTTTAGATCGGGTTTCTTTCTACTAGAAGAACCACTTGCGAGCGTCATTTTCTAGTAAGAAGTTCAATCGTTTCGTCTGAAAAAGATTTTGCAGATTTAAGAGGGTTTTTTTTTAAATGGCCATGGGTAAGTAATTTATTGATTTGACTTTCAAATTAGGTTCAAATTTGATTAAAAATTGTAAAAACATAACATTTAGCACAGCATGTAACTCCTACTAACATATGTCGGTTTTTTGTGTTTATTGGAGTAGAAATTTTGGGATCGACACGGATTGATCACAGTAACACTTAAATCCCATAGAGTAGATAAAGGCCTTTAACCTAATACCAAATTTAGCTGCTACTACCTGCTACTCCGTAAGTTATTATTTTTTTTCAACGTTGGTCGATGGTATTACTCGGTGTGCCTTATTCAATGTGTGGAATGAAGAGCAAGATTTCAAGCGCAAAATTGATGCTGTTTTGAGTTTAGTTAGGAGTACAACGGACTTTGATACATATGAGAACCAGCAGCAATTAAAACTTAGAAAATGTGTTAAAAATTTCTGCTTGTTTGTAGGGAAAAAATAGATGAGGTGCCATAGAAATAAAAAGAGCTTCTCCAAGTCCAATGATGTGTGGTTGTCGGGGGAGTGAGATTTATATTATATTTTATTATTTTGAAAAAAATATATAGCTAACAATTTAGTGCGGTATTTTATGTTTATTTAATCTTATAATATATATTTTTTTTTCAGAATTATAAGCTTAAGAATGGTTTTTCTCAGTTTGTGTTTTTTTCGCATTCAAAATACTACTTTTTCCACAATTATTTAAATATCACTTCTATTTTTCCCCCTGTGTCTTAAATGTAATGCATGTAACAAAATTAGGGACCTGTAAATGGAATACTTCTTTTTTAAAAAAATTGAAATGTGGGAAGTAATAGGCTTTTAGTTGAATTTTAGCATATATATATAAATAGCTGTTACCCACCCGCTTCACTGGGTATTTCACGATGTTGTATATATGTATACTGTTTACATATATATTAATTATTGATATCTAGCATTAAGAATTCGATTGTATTGAAAAACATATTTATAGCTGTTACACTCTCGCCCCTTGGTATAAAAAGAGCATACATTATAATATTTAATTTCTATTTATATCTAAAATAGAAATAGAAAGATTTCTTTCGCTCACTTAACCTAATAATCAAGTGGATTTACACCAAAACAACTTTCAGTGGATCTCTACTCCCTAAAATAAACATGCGTGCTAAATTTGAAGTCTAAATCTAACAGAGCAAAAACGGAATTTTTATCATCAATACCTCGTTGACAGCATTCTTAGCGGATTCCAATTCAACAAAAGAGACATGCAAACCAAATTTTATTATTATAGTCTTAGCAGTTCAAAAACGGGAATTTGGTCTATCAATACGCACCAATAACTTTCCCCGCTTCCCCCTGGAGTTGATTTCCGTAAAATGCATTCTTAGTGGAACTCTATTCAACCAAAGAAAAGTGCTCAACAAATTTCAAGTAAATGAGTTAAATTCAAAAACAGGAATTTTTCTATAACACGCCTTAATCCCTCGCAACTCCACTTCTTTAGGGGTCCGATTTCGCAAAAATCTTTGTAAAAGGAACTTTATTCCATGAACGAAACATACCTTCTAATTTTCAAGCAAGTGGTTCTATTATTTGAAAGCGGAAATATTTATCTATTACGCCCCTTAATCCCCCTCAGTGACCCTTGGGGATCAATTTTCCCCAAAACTATTTTGTAATGGATCTCTACACCATGAAAGGAATTCGCTTACCAAATTTTAGGACTGTACGTCTAATAGTTTAAAAATGGAAATAATTATCTATAACGCCCCTTAAGACCCGCAACGCCACTTAGGAAACAATTTTCACAAAACCCATCTTATAGCAGATCTCTACTCAATGAATGGAATCAGCTCACTAAATTTCGAGATCTTACGTCTATTAGTTTAAAAAAGGAGTTAATTGCCTATAACGCTACTTAATTCTCTACAACGCCACTTGGGAGTCGATTTTGACAAAACCCATTCTGTAGGGGATCTGTACTCTATGAAAGGAATCCGCTTACTAAATTTCAAGACTGTACGTCTAATAGTTTAAAAATGGAAATAATTATCTATAACGCCCCTTAAGCCCCCGTAACGCCACTTAGGAAACTATTTGCACAAAACCCATCTTATAGCGGATCTCTAGTCAATGAATGGAATCAGCTCACTAAATTTCGAGATCTTACGTCTAATAGTTTAAAAAAGGAGTTAATTGCCTATAACGCCACTTGGGGGTCGATTTTCACAAAACTCATTCTGTAGGGGATCTGTACTCTATGAAAGGAATCCGCTTACCAAATTTCAAGACTGTACGTCTAATAGTTTTTAATGGAAATAATTATGTATAACGCCCCTTAAGCGCCCTCAACGCCCCTTGGAGGTCGATTTTCGCAAAAATCATTATGTAGGTAATCTCTACTTTATGAAAGAAATCTGTGTACCAAGTTTCACGACTATACATCTAATAATTTAATAATGGAAATAATTATCTATAACGCCCCTTAAACCCCCGTAACGCCCCTTGGGGTTCGAACTTTGCAAAATCCGTTCTTAGCTGACGTCTACTTCATGAAGGGAACCTACCTACCATATTTCAAGTCTGTAGGTTTAATAGTACCGTAGATATCGTGATTAGTCAGTCAGTGAGTCAGTGAGTGAGTGAGTCGCTTTTCTCCTATATATATATATATATATATATATATATATCAACATTTTATTATCCTTTTTCTCCAAAACTAATTAAGGTATTGTAAAATCGATCCTTAAAGGTGTTAAAAACATCCTCAGAAATTTTACAAATATTTCATGTCAAAAAATTAATTTACACAAAAAAAGTAAAATTTCAAATATTTCCAAATTTTTTAAAAGAAATTAAATTGGTAAAATTGTGTGAATAATATACGCAAAATTTTATCTGGTATCATTTTCTTAAATAAACATTATATATAATGCTAAAATGTAATTTTTAAATACATAAATTTAAAAAAAATGTCCTTTTAAACACTACCCATTATCCTTTAGTGTATGTGTACAATGTTATGTTTGATTGTATTTGTTTTACTTGCCACACTATTTCTTGTATAGATTCTCCCACGAGTAAATTACTTCTTCCGTTAATATCCTTAGATCCTTGTTCAAAAACTAGTTCCACTTAGCAATCATTTATATTCAAATATTCATATTCAAATATTTATATTCATTCATATTCAAATTGGACATAAATTAGTTAAGACCCTATTAACCTTATTTGTTAATAAAAAACAGAAAAGAATACCCAATTTACATTAATTACTATGATTTATGATCATTAGATATAGTTATGAAGATTTTAAAGCCATAAAATAATTTCCGAGCGCCAGATTGGGAAAACTGCCCACTGTGCGGCGTTGCATTTTATAGGAGGGGAGTATTTGGCCGTCGGCGAGATTGAAAGAAATTGCGTTTGTTGAGCGGATAATGGATATTAATTTTTGTGATCTATTGAGAAAAAGTGCTAAGGAGACCAACGAAGTTTTGAAGCAGGTGTAAGGCCGTGATACATTATCGAGAATGCAAGCTTTTGAGTGGCATCGACAATTCAGAGAAGGCAGGGAAAGTGTCGAAGACGGCAAACGCTCTGGTCGTCCACAGACTTCGCACACCGCTGAAACTATAGAAAAGATTACTGCGGCTGTACGTAAGAACAGGCTTCAAACAATAGCAGAATTAGTTGGGATAACCTCGGCCACTTATCGATGGATATTGGCTGAGGATCTTAACATGCACAGGGTGTGTCAACATATCGTTCCCCACATGTTAAACGAAAACTAATCTGCAGATGAAGTGAAAAGTGCATTACAGGTTGAATTAAAGGACATGGCTGAAAATTGATGGCACAGATATTTCGATGACCTTTACAAGCTATGGTTAAAGTGTGTTGTTACTCAAGGCTCTTATTTTGAAGGAGGATGTGTTTCAGCAATTTAAACGGTAATATTTTTTAAGTTAGACTCAGTCCGGGAAAGAAGAGAAACTTTAACAAAAAACACCGGTTATTATTTCAATTAATCGTAACTCTAAAAATAATGTGAAATTTTCAAAACTCCTCGCACAGCCCCCGTATAGTAGTCTTAGCTGTATACAGGCAAAATATTTTGATTATTATTGAAGTCTTTTTCATAAATGTTTTCAAAATATATAATTATTTCTTCATTTTCTTGCCAAAAAATAGAATTTAAATAATTTTTTTTTGTTAAAATAGTATTCTTATAACAATTTTATATGTATATTCTAAAATTAAACTGTGAGACTGAATACACAAAAAACAAGTAATATAAAATATTTAAGTCAATTTCTACTTAGGTCAACAAAGAAAATTTTTATTTTAGTTACTTTTTATTAAATAGTTACAATTAATATATATATACATATGACAGAATCTCAATATTAAGTGACAAAATAGAAAGCGATTTTCCTTGCAATTTTCCATTTTCCTTTCTATACGTAGTATTGAACTATTTTTTGTTTGTTTATTACTGTTTATTCATTAATTAAATTTAATTATTCGTACAAAATAGTATATTAAAAAAGAAATCACATTTTCAGAAATAAGGCCATCCCAGTTGGAATTCGAACGCACGACCTTTGGACTAGAAATCCAACGCGCGCGCGCAATTCATTGCGCTACAGGGACGCAGCGAACGATTTTCCTTTATATATATGCTGTATTGGACTATTATTTTTGTTTGTTACTATTTATTAAATTTTTAAATTAATTAATGAGTTAAGATTGGAAAAAATTGTGTTTACATCAAGTTTCATCCACTACAAGTTTTAAAAAATTATTTGAAATTAAATGGATGAATAGAAAGTATTTTATTAACGATCGTAAATTTTAACAATAAATAAATAAATTATATATATATATATATATATATATATATATATATATATATAAATAAATTATATATATATATATACATATATATATACATATATATATACATATATATACATATATATATATATACATATATATATATATATATGTATATATATACATATATATATACATATATATACATATATACATATATATACATATATATATATATATATATACATATATATATACATATATATATACATATATATATACATATATATATACATATATATATATATATATATATATATATATATATATATATATATATATATTTAGTAGGTTATGTTTATGTTCATATATTCTTGTTTAATGACTTAATATTTAAATTTTATGTATTGAACTCTTTCCTTTCCTCTTGGTACATAGTATGACAAATTACAGGTGAAGGTTGGCGCCGCAAAACTTGTTTAAACCTGAAAACCTGGTTCCTAAGGCCAGGAATTTGTCTTTATACTGTGTGCCTACTTCCTACTTTTAGTTATCTTAGGTTTATAACTATATGATTATTTTTATATTTTTGTTTATATGTATATGTATATGTGTGTATAAATTTATATATATGTGTATGTATATGTATATGATTATATTTTTAAAAAATTCTTATATTGGATTATATATATATACATATATATATATCGGGAGCACTAATAGGAGAGAGAGTGAGCTCATAGTAGGAATTGAAAAAAAGAGAAAAAAACTATCCGTTAATACGCTTGTTCAAAATCACGGTTTCAAACGTAGTCAATAACCTATAATGAGCTATAGTAATGTAGAATGTTATTAGGAACTAAAAAAACGAATTTATTCCTTTCTATTTCACTCATTAAATAAATTACATGTAATCTTTACTATATCTATTAAAAGCAAAATCCCAATTATGTCTTATTTTATAAATTTTATGCTAATTACGAATTAAAATAATAAATTATGTGTTGAGGAGAGTATAAAAGGATAATTTTAAAACTATTTCTATTCTTAATCGGTATGCTAAGATTCTTCCTTTAAATTATGTCGCACTAATGTACAATGAAAATTATTAGTTTACATTTGAACAAAAGGTGCCATTTAAAATCTCTGTCATGACAGAAAAAAAATGTGTACAAAAAAAATTTTATTTTAATATTAGAAAGTGCATTTATAAGTAAACGCGAGATTTACCTTCTCGTTTTAAAAAAATTTGTTTATTCATAAAATAAAAAAAAATGTTCTTTAAATGAATATCACATTTTGCATGTTTAAATTCAGGTCAGAGTTATTTAACTCCATTGTTTTACAGGTACGCGTTATTTAATTTTTGTATACTTCAGGTTTGTGATGAAAGAAATGTAAATTTTATAAACATTTGTGGGGAAAAAAAATTAAGACTTCTGAAATTAGACTTAGTTAAATGAAAACCATGTAGGAATATAAAAAATTTTAGTCTTCATTTATTTCATATCTGCTGAGGAAAATATGCTTACTTTCAAATTTATGTCCAAATTCAATTATCCCCCTCTCGTTTGACTAAATTACTGAAAACAGCAGACACGAAGGGGGAAAAAAAGAATTTTGAATGATGAAAAACATCGAAAATGTGGCAGTTCTAAGAATTTTTTTAATTAAAAAATAATCTTTTTTTAGAGTAATGACCATTCATTCGAATTTTTCAAAAAAAAAAAAAAAACGAACTCCACGTTAATCACCGAAGTGTGCATGGAGAAAAGCTACTTTCCGGGTCTCTTCTGCCATCTGGTGACGAATATAGGTACTAACAATGGTATAGTTTTTTTAGCGATAAAAGTGCTTTTTAAAATGTATTGGTAATAAGAAAAATTCTATAGAAAATGGTTAGTTTGCTCTGAGTAAAATAAAAAATAAGTTTTTGAAAGAGTTGTTAACGAAGAATAATTATCTCATATTTGATTGCGCTTATTTTCCTATAAAAAAGTTTGTTTCCCTTATTTGAAAAAATTAGTTTTTTGAATAGTGAATTTATTGTTGTTACAAATCATTCTGAAATTTCAATTTAGTTGTAAATATATTTCTGGAATTAAGAAAGTACCTACAAAATATATATATATATATATATATATATATATATATACCGTGTTTTGTGCGATTTTTCTTACGAAGGCAATCTCAAAAAAGAAATGTTGAAGAACCTTGGCGATAAATTTTATACTTTCCTTTAAAGCTTTTCTCACTGTCTTTCTTTTTAAAACTTCATTTTAAAAAAAATTAGCAAATATTTGAAAATTTTGAACACAAGAACAGATGAAAATGGGTTTTCAAAATCACATGCTACAATATATGACTCTGTTACATCCAAGAAATTGATGACTTATTTAAAAGATGTTAATAAAGTGTTGAATTTAAGCTTATATGCTTAAACTCAGATAAATTTAGGTTTCTAAGTTATGTTTGAATTATATACTTCATATGTTAATGCACAATCTTTTTTATTGTTGTTCCATTAGTTATATTCCTTTTTTACATTAAAAATTAGCGCCGTCTTACAAAAATGACTTAAAACATGCATTTTTAACTTTATGCAATTATTCTTCCCCTCTTTTATTTACCATAAAATCCGGCGTATAATGCGTACTTATAACACAAAAAAATGAGATCGAAATTTAAGGAATGCGCGTTATACACCGAGTCCAAAAATGATAGCTTCAAAAATAAAATGTGAAGAGATGATCATAAGAAAAATTGGACTTCTACATGGATCGGAAAATGTTTATTTGAAAAAAAAAATGGAATATATAATGAAATTAAAAAGTTCTGATTCTAAAAGTATACTATTTTTTCAAAATCTTCGGATAGTATTTCGAATAAAGGACTTTTAAAACATACGAGCTATAACAAGCAGATGTCTTGTTCCTTTGCAAAAAAGGGGGTGCACATTATACGGCGATTATTCGTAAAAATTGAAAACTGTTGCTCGATACAATGGGTGCGCGCTATACTCCTGTGTGTGCTATACCCTGCATTTTACGGTAAACCTTTTTATTTAAAAAATTAACTTCTTTCAATTAGTTAACATAAATTAATAAATTCTGTTTATTATATATATTCTGTTATTTATAAATGTTTTCAAGAACGGTCTTTTTTACTGGTATCTTTGTCTTTTTATAGTCTATATTCATATTTAAAAATCTATTGGAACAAATTAATAAAGACGTTAGAATTAATACTAGAAAATTATAAAATAGGTCAGTTTATAACTCATCTAATTCATGTAATATTTTATAATCATTTATAGGATATGCAATTGATTTAAAATACGAACTAAACTTGATCACAAAATATTGTGAAAAAGAAAATATCTCAAACCGTTTATTCAGATACAACATTGCATCTGCAAAAGGTTCATTATCGATTCACTGCACATTTTGCGGGTACAAAATACAGTTATGGAAATGAGGTTGTAGAATAGGCGTTGGAAACCTATGGCCCTCATGCCACATTCGGCACGTGGTACAAAGGGCACTCTACACTACTCTACAAATTATTCAAATTTTTAAGTGGATGGCAATTGATAATTTAGAAATAATGATTATGGAAATAATATGTTCAGAACTATATGGAAAGTAACATTTAAAATCTAACATCACGAAAAAATCTGAAAGATAACTCTAACAATAAATGAACAACTATTTTAAATTATTGGATGCCATTGATGGAGAGATTTAGTTATTAGAGCAAAAAGTTTCTCAGCTTCCAGGTTTTGGTTCTACTTATCTATGGGTACAAATCTTTTCTCTCATATGAAAAGTATTTTGAGCCTGCAAAGAAGTTGTTTGACAGCTGAACGTTCAGATTTTTGTCAAACTGAAAGTCACAAATTATACCTCTGATAGTGTGCTTATGAAGTAGAATGAAGCAGACAAGATTTTATTTAACTATATCGAAGGGAGATACTATTCTTAGTTGTTTATTTCTTATTTTAATAACTATGTTTAAAAATACGTAATATATGTGCAATTATAGTTTTTTACTTATATTAAAGGAATAGTTATATTTTATGTTATTTATTTTTATGTAAAAAATATCATTAAATGATGCAAAATTAATAAATTTTAAAACTCTAAACCTATATTCCCTAACTCCGCATGAATTACCACAGGAACTGCACTGTTTCAAAAATATTTCCTACAGAGTAGTACTCTAAATCATAACGTAGTTTGGTTTGACACATCACAGCTACACAGTTGCAGACCACTGTTCTACGAGATTTATTCACCGCACACGTACATTGGATTAGAAAGATTATTCTTGTGAACAGCCTATAAAACAAAGGGAAAATACTTTCCATCGCGATTGTAGCTGAAGCCGATTCAACTAGGATTGCGTCGAATCTGAACCCAGAGCAATTTTAAGATCTTTGTCACACTCAATATTTTTTCTTCTCAATTCTATAAATTTGAACTTGAGGCTTGCTTTTGTTATGTTTCTCAAGTCAGGATACTGTCAATTTATTAATTGAATAAAATGAATGTTTTGTTCTTAGTGTGTGTCTAACTTTTTCATATTCTCTTGGACGATTTAAATTAGTTAAGTGAGGAAAGGGTAGATCTCAATTTCGGCTATCATGTTCCTGTCTGAAAATTAAGGGAACAGAGACGTTTTAAGCCTTCAAAAAATCGTATTTTCAATTTTCCTCTTAAAAAAAAGTAGATTAAATGCTGATTCCAAAAATGTATAACATGTATAGGTTTAAAACTTAATATCCCAGTAATTGCGGTTTTAAAATGCAAGCAACA